TTTTCCAAAATTTATTCTCTAGTTTTACAATCTAATACATTTTCTTTAACGTTTTCTATTTTATATTTTTAAAACCAAACGAACCTAACATTTGCAAGCTCAAAAGCATGGGTTAGCTTTACCTATTTGAAAGTTCTTTTAAATTTAAGGATAAATTACCAAAATGGTACCAATTATTCATGAATTCTTATTTTGGTTATACAATTATTTTTTTAAAGAAATATTTAACGTTATGTTTTATTTAAGAATAATCATGGTTCGAGTCAGATTAGGTTTTTGATCCACCCAAACCTTACTCAAATTAAATCACTCCACCCACACTTAACTTCACCCAAGTTTAAGGGAGCCTCATCGACCCAAAAATAGACACAAATTTTGAGATCAAAAATCATACTCGGTCTGATCTATACATATAAATTCTTCTTTTATGAAGTAAAATAAGGATTTAATTAAAAAAACCATGCATAAAGGTTACTATTATATTTATTCTTAATTATATAAAAGATCATTATAATTTTATCTCGGGTAAGATTAAATTATAATTTTTACCTTAAATTCAAATATAACCTAATATGATCTCACCCTTAAAAATCCAACATGAACCCTAATTTAAAGAAAAATTGACTAAATCAATCAAATCGAGGTGAATTGAAACCAATTAAATCTAAATCAAATAACTATCCTTAATTTTTGTTTGTATTTTGGTTCTTGTTATTTTGACTAAATAAAAGTACCGAAACGAAACGTGAAGCTCGACTTTTAGGATTGTCATTTGCAAATGGCATACGAAATTTGGGGCCTAGCGTGGTCACACGTCCCAATTGATAGGTTTGTGGTACATGAATACGATGAGACTAAGATGAGTAGGTAATAGTTTAATGGCTAGTTTGAAATTATAAATCATAGAATTAGACTATCTAATCAACTTTCCCCGTAACCCAAATAGACCACTACGTCGGTTTTTTTTTTCTTTTCTTTTCTCAATAGGAATTTAGATTTAAAAATTAGGGTTTTATCCGATCCACATATTTTAATTAGAGATTTACGGTATTTGTTATAGTGTTAGCGAACTCGTCACCTCGAAATGATGAATTTCTTGTAATAGTATTTTTAATGTACCCGAATGAGTGGATTCCACGTGGACTATTAATTTATTATTTTTAAGCGGATTCGTCACCTCGACATTATGAGTCCAGTAAAAAATATTTTTTATTATTGAAAAAAATTTAAATTTAGAAACAAAAAAAAGAGGGTATTAAAAAACTAGTTGTTTTGTAACCGTTGGTCAACGAACAGTTGTGCAACGGACACAACGGAACTAGACACTTTGAGGTGGCGAGTTCGCCCGGGGTTCAATTAAAAAAAAATTAGTTAAAAAATAATAATATTTTTTTTTATTAAAATAACATTGTTTACAAACTAATAAAATTTATTTATATATTCTGAGTTATTGACGATGCCAAGTAGTGGTTGAATGATAATGGCGCGGGCTCGTCGAGTACGTCGGGGTCATCGGCTTTGATTGTCATCGTCGTCGTCTTCATCTTGATGAGGAGATGTACTTAACACACTCTGAGATTCACCTTCGAAATACGGTGATGGGTGTATGGTATTTGACGTCATCATTGTCGTTACTAAATCAACTTGGTGGCTATGTTGTTGATCATATACGATATGATCACATTCACCCACAACCACATGTTCTTTCGAAGATGTTTAAGTTTATTTTATTGCATCCCATGAACCTCTAACCCAGGTCGACTGAGTCTCGGTTGAAGTATGATATGCAGGATAAAAATCGAAACTGGCCTGAGATGCATAATAATAATCTTCAACTGCAGATGTTGAAGCAAAAGAAGACATCGATGATTTCTTTTTGGACTTCGAGAATCTAGCTTGATGTTGTTCCCATTCTCCCCTCTCTTGTGGTGTCGTGAGATATGATTTCTCATTTGCTTCATAATTTCGTAGATAGGGAGAATGGTCAAAATCTAGGTCCATCGGTGTATTATTGTACCGCGGGGAGCGATAGGTGTCGTTGATTCCATAGTTCGATGTAGTAAGCGTGCTTCACCGGCAAATTTTTGATATGTTTCCCACGCGTATCAATTGTATGAAGCGCGTTCATCTCAACGATTTACGTAGGAATCAACTGATGCGGCACATATTGTCGTAGTACTCTATTAGTGGTGTGCCACTCAACAATCACAAAATGTAATAACGACATCGCGGTACACCATAAATCGAACCCCTCAAAAAGTTACGGTTTTAGTAACCGGTAAATCTCGTCGTCAGCATATGGAAGCCAAGAAAATTGTAAATATTAAATATCAAAGTTAATATATATACAATTTAATTTTTTAAAAAATAATAAAATAACAAATGTATATTGCATATCGACTGGTGATGTCGGTCCTCATACGTATATCTTTTGTAGTGACACTCAACAACTTCGCTTCAGTTATTTTATGGCACCATCTAAAATATTTGAAATAGAAAAAAGATTAAAAACAGATAAAAAATTAATTCAAATTTAAAAACAAAGTTAAAAAAATTACATTCCAACAAGAGGAAACTCGACCATGGCTGTTGTAATCGGCATAAAAAACGGAATTCGATCCAGGCCCATGAGTTTGACAATTACAGCCTTGCAAAGCTCCCGGTACAAAAAGGCTAAAATCACGGAGCCCCAATTGGTATTGTGACACACAGGGAAGTCATTTAAAATTCAAAGATACTGAGTGTGCACAAAAGTACCGGATTTATCCTGTAATAATACCCCTCCAATCAGTTGGAGAATATATACTCAGGACGCAAAAATAACCTCGTCCTCGATAGAGTAATTGATCACTTGGAATTCGGACTCCAACCATGTTATCTGTACCCGATAGCCATCGATGAACTCGGATGGTGACACCTTTCCCAAAACTTCGTAGACTAACGTCTTGGGGTCATAATTATTCCACCTCACCACACGGGCTCCATTCATGGGAACACCAAGTTGGTAAGTGACGTATTCTAAAGTAATCGTCGCTTCACCACTCTGAAAATGGAAAGTGTGCATCTCGGGCCGCCAATGTTCAACCAGAGTCTCAATTAACACCGGTTACACCTTGAAGCCACACACAATGGCTAGAAAAAGACCAGATTGCTGAAGATATATCAATATTCGCGGATGCAGATCTCTCACATTCATCCTGCGTTAAGTAATACTCTGTTCTTCTTCCAACCGAAGTTCAATCAACGAAATATGGACGTTACAAAGTCGCAACATTTCTGCTTGGGAAGCCATTTTCAGAATTTTCGTATAAAGTAAGTTTTTTATATTTTTTGAATTTAGGGTTTGATGAAAAATAAAACCCCAAATCCCTATTTATAGCCTCAATTCCAATGGTTATAATACAAAAATCCGGAGGAACTCGTCACCTCGAGGTGAAGAGTTACCCTCTCTTTTTTCAAATTCTAATTTAAAAAAAATCAATAAAAAAAATATTGTTTTACTGGACTCGTCACATCGAGGTGACGAATATGCTTAAAAACAATAAATTAATGGCCCACGTGAGACCTACTCATCTGAGTCCATTAAAAAATAATATTTCAAAGAACTTGTCACCTCGAGGTGACGGGTTCGCCCAACACTGTAGTAAATATCGTAGATCTCTAATTAAAATATTGGATGGGTAAAACTCTAATTTTTAAATCTAAATGCCCTATTGGGCCAAAAATATCCCCATTACATTTATTATATGCTCTTTTAAGAGCTTTAATCAGGCCTGGCTGAGCAGAGATACTACTTGGGCCACCGGCATGTTGAGAAACAAAGGCAGTATTCTTTAAATAAGATAATAGAACAATCTTAAATTTCAATAGTTAAAAAATATTATTATTTAAATATTTTATATTTAAATAATCGTATCTATATTATCACTGATTAGAAAAAAATATGAATGCATATATCATTAATCGACTTAGACTATTAAAAAATATATGTTAATGGGTTAATTTCTTAGAAAATCTTTAAACCATGGTTTTGATTCTAAATTAACCTTGAATTTCATAACGTTGTTGATTGAATTCTCAAAGTATCAAAACACCATATGAATCAAATCCTTTTATTAGCTTAGTCATTAGATTAGGCATTAAAAATCAGCTTCAATATGACTTGGAGCAATTATAAAATATGTAGATCAAATGCAGGGACGAAAACCAGAAAAGTTGATGATGGCCTTAGTTAATAGTTAGCCCTCTAAAATGGTGAAATTGTTGCGTAGATCCTTTAGGAATCGCAACATTTTAAATTCTTTACATGGTCAAATTATATTGGACCCCAAAGACGATAACTTTATGATTCAATCCTTTCAAAAAATATGAAATTTTAAATTAATGCAATATTATAATTATATTTTGGCCTCTTTGGTGATTTGGCTCTAACTTTTTCCTTATTTCATCCTTGATCGAATTATAAACTTTATATGCACCCATTAAATGGATAATTTGAATTTAATGTGTTGAAACCCATAAATAACATGTCCAAAGTTCATTGACTGATTTTTTTCATTACACTCCAGATTCAAATTATTCATGCTATTTAAATATATTTACAATTTAATTCACATATTTTAAATATACCCAGATCATATTTAAATTGGCAAAGACAGAGCGATAGGATAGTTTAAAGACTGTCTTAAAGAATGTGTTTGCTCTGACATTTCAGTAATGAGAAAACTGGTGATGTAGTTGAGGTTATCATAAATTTCACGTATCAGCCTTGGCTTTCATAATTCGTTGTTCCAAAGCTAAAGATCTGGTAATAAGGCCTATTAAAGGCCGAAACCCACTCCGGATAACCCTTCAACTATATTTGGGTGTGGGATCTTCATCACACACTCTTTGAAACATCCCGATGATCCAGGTTCGAATCATAGGTGAAATGATAAAAGATTTATATCGACTCGTCGAATAAAGTCTAGTTTCGATGCCAAGAACACAATGAACAAATATAAAAAAAGCAACAAGAACTTGTTATTCCAAAATGAAAACGACGCGATCATTCTCGTATACATGTGTGTGTATGTATATAATGTTTTTAAGTGAGCAAAGGACGACGAAACGTGGCAATGGTTGTTCCACGATCATCATGGCCACGGTTAAACAAACGTGTCCAAGTTTTCATCTGATTCAAAACCTGTTTGTAAACGCCGATTCTTAAACCAGGAACACTAACCATCGCAGCTTTCCTTAGCTTCTTTAATTTTCTCCCGATCTTCAGCTTCAGCCTACTCAATCTGATTCGTATGAACGATGGTTTTCTTCTGGAATCTGCTTGTTCCAGCACTTTGTTTATCAGGAACTGAGCTCGTCGATGGATAATCTCGTCTGGGTCTTCTTTGTTCACCTTTGAGTAACTATATGAGCTCTTCAAAACAGCCATGGCTTTTTCTCTTTTCTGGGGAAAATTTTATTAGAAAGAAAACGTTGAGAGAAAGTGTGGAAGAAGAGACATTTATAGGAAAGCTGAGCAGTTGAGGCCATGACGTATGGTGATCAGGCTGTGCATGTGCACTAACATTGACTTTGGTAGGGGAAAATTGAATTCTTTATTTTTTTTAACTAAGACAGAAAATTAATTATAAATGGTAGAAAATTTTGTTTATTTATTTTTTTAATTAATTTGCCTGACCTTTCGTCATTGTGAAAACTGACCTGCTATGTTCTAAAACAGCATGCCCCCTGGATAGTTATTGGATTTTAATTAATATAATATTTTTTCATTAATCTGAATTGATCCGTGTCGTACACTTAGTTTTGGTGGATGAGCCTTCCAGCAGAGGTTTTCTGTTTACATAAAGATTCGAACTCGAGACCTTGCTTAAACAATATCAAACTACTTACCACTTGAATCAACCTCTGTTAATAAATTTTAATTAATATATTAATTGATCTAATAAAATAAATACTAACTGATCAAACAATTTAATTAATAATTATTTTATAAAGAGAAAATCGCCTCAGTGACCAAAAAAAAGTTATAATATACGATTTTAACCAACTTTTTTTGGATTTGCCAAAAATGACCAACAAAATCGCAACGCGAAATAAAAATCGCAACGCGATCCCCAGAATCGCAAATCAGTTTCCAGAATCGCAAATCAGTTTCCAAAATCGCAACGCGATTCTTGAAAATCGCGATGCGATAGTACAAATTCGCATTGCGATTTTCCAAAATCGCAACGCGAATATGAAAATCGCAACGCGAACACATAAATCGCAACGCGTATCCGTAAATCGCAACGTGTATCCGTAAATCGCAACGCGTATGGGTAAATCGCAATGCGTATCCGTATATCGCAACGCGTATCCGTAAATCGCAACGATAATACATAAAATCGCAACGCGTATCCGTAAATCGCAACGCGATATTTAAAGCGCCATTATAATCGCTACGCGTATTTTATTTTCAAATTACAAAAAGAATATTAAGACAAAATCCCGTAATCGCAACTCATAACCTAAAACCTAAAATCACAACTCAGTCCCATCTCCATCTCTCACTCTCTACGGCGAAGAAATCCGTCCCCATCTCCGAAGATTTCCGTCCCCATCTCCGGCGAAATCCCTCACAACCATTCACGGTCAGAAATCCCTCACAATATTCAGAAATGGAAAATCAACCTCCGAGGGTTAGTTTTTTAATTATTTTTATTTTGAAATGTTTGCATTATTGTAGGTTTTTCATATTGAAACTGATGATAAGTTTACTGGTCATTTCAATAATAGATTAACCATTTCACTTAGATTTCATTTCGCGTTACGATTCTGTCGTTGCGATTTTCATTTCGCGTTGCTATTCTCTCGTTGCGATTTTCAAGTTAGTATTTGTCTTTGTCTTTGTTCTGTCTTTTGGTTGAAGTAATGCAATCCATTCAAGTTTCAATTTGCAGAAGAGTCGCAACGAGATAAATGAAAATCGCAACGAGAGAATGACTGTCGCAACGAGAGAATCGCAACGCGAAATGGAAATCGCAACGAGAGAATCGCAACGCGAAACCAAAATCGCATTGCGATTTTCATTTCGCGTTGCGATTCTCTCGTTGCGATTTTCATTTCGCGTTGCGATTCTCTCGTTGCGATTGTCATCTCGCGTTGCGATTCTCTCGTTGCGATTTTCATTTCAACCAAAAGACAAAACAGTGTTGCAAATTTTAGTTTAAAGAATAAACTACTACTTTTTATGTTTATTGTTTTTGGTATATCTTCACAGTGTAGTTTTTGGTATATCTAACTTGGTATGTTTATTGTTTTTGTAGAAATTTTTTCGGCTCAATTGACCTTGAGAAATAAAGTCAGCCTGGCCACTACAATTGCAAAGAAGCTTTCACCTGCTCAAAGACAATTGTTTGAGGAAACCTGCTTCGGGCCATGGCTGAGAGTACAGCATCCGGGTGGAGATGCTAATTTGACCCATTTGTGGCTTCAGACCATGACATCAAATCTACCCGACAGTATACAACGTGGTGAGGAAGAGATATGGTTTCATTTTCCACCAGCGTATACTTGCTTTGGGCGGAAGGAGTTCTGCTTAATCACTGGTCTACGATTCGGACACGATGATGTAGGCCGGTACACTCGTCATATCGCCCGCCCATCATGGTTATCCCGGGTTTTTCCGGATGAGTCAATGGAGAAGCCGAACCTACATGTCGACGACCTGAAGAAATTATTTAATAAGAAAGCTGGTTTCACTCGGATGGAAGACGTCGATGTTGTCCGAGTATGCCTTCTACTACTTGTGTATGCCGGCTTTTTAGGCAGAGAGGCCAGACAACCTATTCATCGGGAGCTAATAATATTGGTAGAGGACCTGAATGCATGGAATCTGTTTCCGTGGGGTTCGTATATATGGAAAGCTACCTGGACTAAGTTGTCGTCTGCCTTTGATGACCGCAAAAGTTTGCGGGGCGATGGGTCCAAATACACTTTGTCAGGCTTTGTTTGGGCCTTTAAGGTAAGAATTTCTATATAATGTTTCTAAAATTATAATTAATTATTTAACAATTACTAATTTTGTTATTATATTGTTTGTAGATTTGGATATTCGAGGCTTTCCCCAGCATGCGTACATATGCAATAAAAACGTCAAATGATATTCCCAGGGCTATTTCCTGGAAGAGGAAAACTCTGTTGGATTGGGAAGACTTAATACCATATGCCACAATAAATAATGTAAGTTAACACAAATACTTTCATATAATATATAAACAAGTTATTAATAGTAGACGTTTAACTTTGTTTGAGTTTTTATATTTTAGGAGGCCAACATTCCATTACAAAGACTGACACCCACGGAGGAAGAGCTTGCCACTGATTGGTGGCAAGCTAGTCAGAATTTTTTTGATGGCACGGATGATGAGCAGCATCCACTTCCTCCAATTCGAGAGCCATCACCTCACCTAGAGCCATCACCCGATCGACCCGACTATACATCTCTAGAACGAGAGCCATCACCTATCCCGTCACATCATCGAGCCTCTTCTCCACCATCACCTCATGATAGGCGACCGGCAAAGATGCCACGACTCCTATCTCCCTGTTCTCCACCTCCACCTCAACGGGATGAGTCAAGGGAGTTACGTGATGAGGTCAATGCCTTGCGTGAGGAGATCGGTACTCTACGCGATAACGATGGTGCATGGCGTGTGGAGGTGTCAACTTTACGTGGTGAGGTTGCCGCTCTACGTGAGATGATAGTATCGTTGCAGAATGAGGTTCATACTCTACGCAACGAGGTAAGTTTAAGATTTTCCATATTTAACTTAATGATAAATTTACTCGTAATTTCACTTAGATTAGCCATTTCACTTAGATTGCTTAGTAAATTTGTTCGGTTGCTGCCAATTCTGCTAAACTGTGTATTCTTTAACACTGTGAAATAGTATTTGTCTTTGTTTTGTCTTTTGGTTGAAAGTAAATTTGTTCGGTTGCTGCCAATTCTGCTAAACTGTGTATTCTTTAACACTGTGAAATATATTTGTCGTTGTTTTGTCTTTTGGTTGAAAGTAAATTTGTTCGGTTGCTGCCAATTCTGCTAAACTGTGTATTCTTTAACACTGTGAAATAGTATTTGTCTTTGTTTTATCTTTTGGTTGAAAGTAAATTTGTTCGGTTGCTGCCAATTCTGCTAAACTGTGTATTCTTTAACACTGTGAAATAGTATTTGTCTTTGTTTTGTCTTTTGGTTGAAAGTAAATTTGTTCGGTTGCTGCCAATTCTGCTAAACTGTGTATTCTTTAACACTGTGAAATAGTATTTGTCTTTGTTTTGTCTTTTGGTTGAAAGTAAATTTATCCATTCAAGTTTCAATTTGCAGAAGAAGAAATAGTTTACTTTCGCAACACGAAACTTAAAATCGCAACGCGAAACCAAAATCGCAACGCGAAATGAAAATCGCAACGACAGAATCGCAACGCGAAACCAAAATCGCAACGACAAGATCGCAACGCGAAATGAAAATCGCAATGCGATTTTCATTTCGCGTTGCGATTCTTTCGTTGCGATTTTCATTTCGCATTGCGATTCTGTCGTTGCGATTTTCATTTCGCGTTGCGATTTTGGTTTCGCGTTGCGATTTTAAGTTTCGTGTTGCGAAAGTAAACTATTTCTTCTTCTGCAAATTGAAACTTGAATGGATTGCATTACTTCAACCAATAGACAAAACAAAGACAAATACTAACTTCAGGGTATTAGTTTGAAACATATTTTTCTTTGTTATCTGATGCATTTTGTGAACTATGATAGAATAATGACTTGGGTGAATACAATGCAAGTTTGAAACATATTTGTCTTTGTTTTCACTGTTTAAAGATCATGTCTGTTTATTTACTGATTTTTGTATTTAATTATTTAGCGGCCCGATAGAGTGGATGCTTTACGTCGGGTTATGCTTGCACGACGGAGTTCACGCATCAGACAGCGTGCACGTGCTATTAAGTCTCCGTACACCCCAATAGTGCGAAGACACCGCAAGAAGAAGCCCGACTCGCCTGTCATCCCTCAAGAGTCCACTCCTATCGTTGAAGAGGCCCCCCATATCATTCCTCGAGAGTCCCCTCCCACCGTTCAAGAGGCAACTGTCATCGTTGAAGAGGTCCCTCCCACCATTCCAGAGTCTGATTCACATGGGGTAATATATCGTAGTATTGAGAAACCCCACCGGTTCCGGACATGATGGATGAGAGTTGGCTCTCGTATGAGTTACCGGCCAGTACCATACCGGTATCTGAAGAGGAGAGGGAACAACTACCGGACACAATTTTGGATAACACCCTTTGGGCTAAGACCGCAGTTGATTTTTATCTACATGAGCGGAGCAAGGGGTGTTTCACTGACATATGCAAGCTCACCGATGATATCTTTTTGTTGCTTGAACGGCCTTGGTGGGGCGTATTATTAGGGGTCG